TGCCAGAGCAGCTATTTCATATTCAAAATGTAATGTAGCATGCACTGTCTCTCACTGATGAGTCTTGTGTGTCATCTGATTGGCTCTCAATGGACCTTAGTATTTGCAATTGTCATAGTACAGAGTTTTGTCTGATTCTATCACTGCTTGTCTTTTGGCAGACAGCAAAAACTGATAAATGTACTTCTATTTATATCTTATTTATTTATTTAAAGTTTTTATATGCCGTCCCCTTGCTACATAGCCTCTGGACGGCTCACAAAAGTAACAGATAAAACAATAACAATTACAATTAAAAACTGGAAACGGCACTGTGAGGAGGCAGTGGGAGTGGAGAAAAATTTCTTCTTCACCGTCACAGCATAGGCCCGATAATGGGCTCTTAAGTGTGTTCGGTCAGATTCATTCGGTCAGATTCTTATCTTACCCTTCTTTACAAGGGGACCAGGGTGGCAAACAGCCTGTATGAGAAAAGGGAGCACATGAACAATCCTAAAATCATAACTTTAAAATGACAGCCTCTCTGGTTGCAATCTTACAGGAAAAAGTTGATATAAATATTCAAGAACTGTGGTTAGTGAGAAATATCCACTTGTGGGAGTTAAATTTGTGGAATCCAAAATCTTGGGTTGTGCATGGTCTCTATACATCTTGTACTTGATACCTATCAAAAAAGCCACATACTAGTTAAGAATCATGAAATCTAAAGTCTTCTGGCAGTAATGAAATCTTTTTAACTCTTGCACCAAAGAATTGATACATTTTGAACATGGCCTATTACCTGAAGGAGCGCTTACATCCATATATGCCCGCCCGCCCCTTGAGATCTGTGGGAGAGGCCCTTCTCCGGGAACCCTCCGTGAAGGAAATTAGGAGGGTGAGTACTCGGAGGAGGGCTTTCTCTGTGGTGGCGCCCAATCTATGGAATGCGCTCCCCAGAGAGGTTCGCCTGGCGCCATCATTATTTGTTTTTCGGCGCCAGGCGAAGACCTTTTTATTCAAGCGGCATTTTAAATGTTAATATTATTGGATTTTATCTGGCGAGGGTGGCTTATTTTATACTGTATTGTTGTATTTTTAATTTAATATTTATATTTTCATTTATATTATAATTGTTTTAACTTAGTGATGTAAGCCGCCCCGAGGCTTCGGCGAATGGGGCGGCATAAAAATGTTTTAATAAATAAATAAATAAATAAATAAATAAATAAATAAATAACTTGATTAGAAATACTTTGAGAGGTGTATACTCCAAATATTCTGGAAAGACTTGTGCCACCATCTCCTGGCAACTCTATCAACTACTCTACATGAAGGAAATTGATGTTTGATCACCAGATTGGGGCAATGGTGATATGTTATTGCAGAGTGAAGTGATGGTGCCAATGGCTAAGTATTAGAATTAATATGAGCAAAGCTGATAAAAGTAAAACATAAATTAGATTAAAACATATAGAATTAAAAATAAAGAACAAATACAAAATGATCTCAGTGATCTTGTTACAGTGGCTTAGGATAGAACAGTTGGAACTGGACAGCGGCCCTATTCACTTGGGTGGGAATGCTGAATATATTATAGTCTAATAGTATCTGTTAAAGAAAAGTTCTACTTTTCTTAACTTGTCGGATCATATTTGCTGTGGAGTCTGGTTTGAGCAAACCATATTTCAAATCAAGGTTTGGAGGCAAGTCTTGGTTTGTATTAAACCATTATTATACTCCTATAGTATACTGTAGTTGGTACTGTTGTTGAAGACTTGTTCATAAGTGGCAGTCAGTTCAAAATACTTTAGCCAAGATTTTGACAGCTTGCTAGGATCATATGTCACCAGTTTTAAGAAATTTACAGTGGTTATCAGTTTGCTTCCGGGCCCAATTTAGGATATTGTTTTTTGTATTTAAATTCCACACTACCTGGGTCCCAGGTACCTGAAGGGACTGCCTTCTCTTATATCAGTTTGTCTGTACACATAGCTGTTTTATTGAGGATCTTCTTAGTGTACTACCATCATGAAAGATTAGACAGTTGGCAAGGAAAGAGGGGGTGTTCTTATCTGTGGCATACCAGTTTTGGAATTTTCTCCCTAAAGAGGTTTGTCTGATGCCCACTTTATTAACTTTTAGGCATCAAATTAAGGCATTTTTTATTTTCCCAGAAATTTTAATGATTTGTGTTTTACAGTTATATTCAGAGGCTGATATATTTCAAAAAACAGAGTTTTTGACGTTTTTATTATGCAGTTTTAATTGATATTTTAACTGTATATCATACTATGTTAACTTTAATTTCATTTGATTTTGTTTTAAATTGCACTATAGATGGTCCTGGGATGAATGTTTGAAGCATGATATACAACCAGTTTCAAATAAATCAAGTTAGTTTTCCAGTTCAGACATCATGAAAAACTTTCAGGAAAGGGAATAGGTAACTAGTGACATATTTCAGGTCTGAACAGGACTGGACAAACTGCAGCATTCCAGGTAGTGTTGGATTCTAGGTCCCATCAAATCTGATCATTGCCTGTGCTGCTTGTAACTGATAGGAAATGGAGTCGAAGAATATCAAGAAAGCCACAGGTATCCCGCTCCTACTCTAAAGCATATTGGGAACAGAATTTGATCACTGCTTTCTACAAGTGACAGGAATATGATCCAGCCTTAATAATATGCCTTTCATCCTTTCTGTGGAATTCTTTTTGCGTGATTGCAAACATTTCTCTTATAGTTTTGGGAGAAGGGTAAAGCAGTTTTGCTTCAAGGAGTAGAGAGATGGAGAACAGAGTTAGCAAAAGGATATGGTATGCCAGTTCACACATAGTCATAATTTTAATACAAATGTTTTGATGTTATTTAAAACAAATTTAAAAGAAATGGAAAATAAGTCAGTATTAAGAATGATAAATTAGAGTGATTGCTCTGTAAGTTTCAATTAAGTACTAATTAATTTAACATGAGTGTTGAGATGGCAATTACTGATGGTTTCTAAAAGTTTTTAATCTTAATATTATATGTAAGATATGTGTAAGATCCCTTGGTATCTTTTTTTTCTTTTCTGTATTCTACTTTTTAGTCAAAATAATTAAAAATGGGAAAAGTAGATTAGTTCACACACAATGATAATCCAAAAGGGTTTTGTTTTTTTTTTAAACTGTGGGTTGATGAAGTTTGGTACAGTGAGTAAGTTTTCTGCCTCTCACCAACTAACAACTTCCACTTTGCATTTTGCATTTGCTTTCCTCAAGAAATGCTTGTGGTGGGAGCCAGTGGGGCATAGCATTTAGAGGGTAAAAATGAACATTGGGAGATCCAATTTCTAGCCCCCGTTTGGTTAGGAAGCTCAGTGGGTGGCTTCCAGTCAAGTTACTGACTCTCAGGCCAATCTACCTCACAGGGTTGTTATGAAAAGTGATTTGGGTTTCCTGGAGAAAGGGCTCAAAATAATGTTATGAGGTTCAACGTGTTTGTTTGACAAATGTTTATTCTGCAACATACTTTCTCCCTTAATAAGCATACAAATATTTCATATTTGGCAAACAGAATGAAAAATGTAATCCATTTTAATAGATTGGATTAAATATATAAAATATGTCAGTATAAATATATCAAAAGTTTTCCTAATAACTACAGAATATTTGAACTGAAATGTTTGCTTGGTCAAAATTAGATTAGCCACACAATATTGTTTAAATTTTATCTTCAAACACATTCAAAGCTTTGTATGGAAATTATTTGACTGGAATTTTTGTAAATATTTGTAGCGTATACTTTCTTACAGAATTTGCTTACAAATATGTGGAAGAACACACTGTTTTTAGAATATATACCCAAAGACAGCTGCTGTAGCTTATATCAAAATTTTTATTTTTATTTTGCTGAGGTAATTGTAGCAACTTCAGCTTCACTCACTCTCCTTACTGCACCATTTCAAGTTGAAAAAAAATCTTATTCAGAACAATTAAAAGCTGGCTGTGGGTCTGAGGACACATACTGGAGAACTTGGACATGAGGCTGGTGTTGCATTCATGTCCTGCTTGCAGGTTGCCATGGTCAACTGGTTGGCCACTGTGAGCAGAATGCTGGACTAGGTTGACCCTTGGTCTGTTCCAGCATAGTTTTTATTTTGTTACTGAGGGAAACAATAACCAGTCTTAGTTTCAGTTTCTCTTCAGTTTCTTATTGAAGAATATTAGCAGTAAAGGATAAGTATAACATGTATAAGTCTGATCCAGACCCAACCAAAAGACATCTGCATTGTACACAGAAATGCAGTACCTCATTTTTCAGTTCCTCCAGAGGCAACTGAGTCTAGGGGTTGTCAATGCTTGCCTTAGAAGAGTGACTTGTAGACATTCATATCCTGTACTTAGCTGATCTGACATGATTGTATTGCAACAGACCAAACAACTGTGGATAAATTCAGGTATTACATGTGGGATGAAAAATTTTCCACAACATCATTGGTTGTCAGGATAAAATGGAGAGTAAGTTTATGGATTTCTTGCAGAAAATCATAAATCAAACAAATAAATAGTGCTCCTGGCTGGTTGGATGTGAACCTGAAACTTTGGGCTGTAAAGGGATAAACAACCTAGAGTTTTAATGCACGGTTTTTTGCTGGGTTAAAACTTGATGTTTCCTGAGTTATCAATGAAAACAAATGCAAAAAAAAGTAGGCAACATACAGCCTGCTCACTTGCTTTGGTGAAGCCCTAACAGTTCATGGGTTAAAGAACCCATTGAATTGACATTATGTATGAACCAGGTCATTGGTTTAGTTTTTATATACTTTATTTTCACTTTGTCTCTTGAACTAGTTTTGAGACACCTAATAATGTTGTAAACTCAAACAAATTAATACTGCTACATTAATACTGAAGAACTCAACCTGTCAATGAAATCTCAACCTGTCACTGAAAAATTCTCTTCTTTTGCTCTGCATCAGTTTACCTATGGGTAGGATGTTTATTGCAGTTTTCAACTTCATTCATTTTTAATTCTAGGAACATCATCTTCAGCGGGCTATTTCAGCACAGCAGGTATATGGAGAGAAGAGGGATAATATGGTCATACCAGTCCCAGAAGCAGAAAGTAATATTGCTTATTATGAATCCATATACCCTGGAGAATTTAAGATGCCAAAGCAGCTTATTCACATACAGCGTGAGTATTTCTTATAACTGAATGAATGGCTCTTGACTGGATTTCTTAGTTACTGTCATCCATATTTCTGTATTCCAGAAAAATTTGGTACTACTTTGTAGTAGAGCAGGGTGACAGCACTGTGGCACCTTAGAAACAAACCTGAGCTATTATAACAAGTGTCTAACCTCTTTTGGGTGAATCCACGTAAATTTAAAAGACATTTTGTACAATAATTCAAAAGCTTCTGCTGCATTGGGTTGCTTTTTAACTGTTTTTATTTGGATTCTGTATTTGAAGTGCCGTGAAAAAATGTGGGGTCCAAACAGTATAAATGCTGTACCTTTTTAACACATAAGTGCAAGTAATACAATAGCACAGCAGAAAAATTACATATGAACTTCACATGAGGCTGTGCTGCCCCCCCCCCCACATGTTTCTGCAGCACTTTCTGATAGGTCATCTAGTTAGAACTTTGTCTGAAATTTTCATGAACTCACTTGAGTAACATACTTTAAAACACACAACATCTTTTCACCCAATATAGCTGTCATACTTGGTCATTGAAAATGTCATTGGAAATATATTCTGTCCCACAGGAAATGTCCTGTGAGGATTATGAATCTTTCTAGTAAATATTTTACATGGAACTGTCGAAAGACCATCCATGGCTTAGGTTGAGGTGTGACCTCTATTGTTCATTTACTGTTTTGTTTCGATGTAGCAAAGGTTTTGATAATTTCGATGATGGGAAGCAGGAATCTAGTATGTATCAGACAAAACCAAAGAAATAATCGCAAATTGGATGTTAGCTTTTGGCCAGGGGTCTCTTTTTAGTTACATCTCTCATAATAGCTGCATCCCTCTCTAAAGCATGAAGACTAGAATTAATTGTTGCTGGTTGTTTAATGTGGGGTTGGGTTTTATTATTTAGTGGTCACAGCAAGCATGGAATGCTCTAGCTTGTGTTTCGTATGGAGGAAGGGTATTCTCTGAATGCTGAAATATTCTAGTAAAGCTGCACTCTTTGTAATAGATTTTCCCAACCTGGTTTCCTCCAGAAATTTTGAGCTAAACTCCCTGTTAAGAGTACACTCCTATAACTTGTTGGAATATGGGGTGTCTTTAACTTTCTTAAATCTCCCTCTCTTTCTCTTAGTAGATAATGCCACCAGGGATTTAATCCCAATCTATTTACTTTCCACAGTATAGTGCCCAAGCTGTAAGGCTCCTTTGTTGCACTATGTGGGCCTGAGGATGAGACGCTGATAATCAAGCAACCTATTAGTTAACACAATAAAAGGTTATTTGTAAAATAAATGTAAAAAGTTTCAAGATGTTCTAATTTTTCCTTAGTAAATAAAGCAATGTATTATAATAACTTACAATACATTATAACAATGTATTATAATAACTCAGTCTAGAGAGACATTACTCTTTGTCTTCACGAACACTCCTTACACAGAGATGCTCCTTTCTCTCCTGCACGCAGGTTTCTATCCGATTGTATCTCTCACACACTTAGAATATTTGACAATATTAGGTTCTGACTCTCTGTAGTTATGAATATGTCCCCTAAGTATTCTGCATCTTTCTTTAGAATCATAAATGCTTTTTACAGCACTCTGTAGGATATTAATGAGAAGGCTGCCTCTTCAAACTGTAGACTTCCAACAAACCACAATTCTGTCTGTTAACTTCTGACAGATCACACTTGACTGTAACTACTGACAGACCACCACTCCCTAACTGAAAAAAAAAAAATTCTTTGCTTGCACACTTCCAGGTTCTGCCCACACATACTCATTCACCAACCAATCACCTTACTTACTCAACCCCCTCTTTTACCCGCCCTTGTTCTTCTAAAACTTAGAACATTTAAAGGAACACAATCCCTTAATATTTTAAATCATTACATACATGCACACCATGACTGTTAGCTATGTTGGACCTTTTGGAAGTTGTATTCCACAAAAAATCTGGAAGAAGCCCAGTTGAGGAATACCACCTTCTAATAGTTTCCTGCCTAAGTAAGGGGAAAGAAACAGCAATTTATATGATGCCATTACTTGAATTCGGGTCCTATTAGGAACAGCTAGAAGCATTTTGCTTGTTTCTATTGTATATATTTACTTCCAGTAGATACAGCACAATCTGGATGTGTTATAACTTGTACATTGGATCATTTTGTTGGAAAAAAGAAGCAGAGGGTAGAAATAAACTGACATTCTTCAGAGCAGAAGGAAGCAAGTTATGGAGTTTCCCCCCAAAATCTATTTTGTGGTTGGTGCTGTTCAAATGATTCATTTAGGAGAAAAAATACCAGACTATAAAGTTGAGAAAGGCTACTTCATGGAAGCAAGTCATGGATCTGCATAGAAACTTTACAGTCTTCTTAGGCCTCTTGAGTAGGACTTCAATAGGTTTAAGTAACTAAGTCCAACTCCTTAAATATTCTGTTTTAATATCATGTTTTGTAATGTAAAGTCCATGTTGCTTTAAAAATACAAATAATAATTATCCATAATGTTTGCTATATGGCAGTCTTTTGCCTATTTTAGTACACAAAAGCATGTAACTTCTTATGTCGAGCTGGAAAACATGTCTGATGCTCCTAAGATTGCTATGCCCCCTTTCCTAGGTCCTACCTCCTTTCCCCCTGACCATTGATGTTTTGGTATTTTCTGGGCCTTCTTGATTCCCCCTCTGCCCCCATCCTAAAAAGGTGGTAATGTCTTTCCTATACAGGGTTATGCCTGTATTTTTTATATTCTTCCAATTGAATGTGATCTCCAAGAGTGTCTCTAAAATTGAATTTGGCCATTGGACTGAAAGATGTTCCCCATGCTAACCTGTATAAACACCTGCATGCTCTGATCCACAGCATCAATGCCTTGTATCCTCCACTAGGAGTCAAATACGGCAATAAAATCTGTTGAGACATAATCCTATATATGTGTCAAAATATTCATAGAATTCTGCTTTTAATAGGTTTTGTGTAGGTTGAGAGGTGCTATTCTGTAAGATTTGTAAGCTTCACAAGAACAAGTTTTGTATGATTGTAGGTTTTATTTTGAGGGAGCAGGGATGGCCATTGCATCTGTAAATTTTTACCTTGTATTTAGTATTTGGGTGATGCTTGTGAATCTATTAAAAAAAACCCCTCTATCATTTTCAAGAACAAGTTTATTGTGCTAATATAAACCAGCTTGCTTCTAAATATCCCTAGCATGCTTTTCCGTGTATTGTTGTTGCTTTCTCATGTTCAGAGTTAAAAAAGTTGGCCAACTGTGGCTTTTTCAACTTCAGTTAACAGAGTGGACTTGTCTTCTGAGACTGTTTCTTGCTCTACACCACATCCACAGGTGCTCTGAATAAGGGAGCTTTTGTCACTATAGGAGTAGGCAACTGGTAGCCTGGAAGTTTTCTAGTTTAGCACAATATAACTCTTAGTCCCCAAGGATTCACTATAATCTTACTTTATTTTCTTCAGTGTAAATGCATCAGAGCCAGTTTCTTCAGCTGCTTATTTTCACTGACACTATCTGGATTAAGTTGCTAGAATTCATAAATCATTATAATAGGAGGACTCTGAAAGCTTCAGGGGCCATTTGTACTTAAACAATGCTCAGTCCATAATTAACAAGTGAAGTTATTGGAGTTTAAACCTTTATTTAAATTGATGATATAGCTCTGATTAAAACTTAGATGCTTCCCTGGAGACTGCAAACATCAGCAAGGAATATCATTTCTATATTAGTATTCCGAATTATAGGAACATACACGCAATTTTCTAGAAATCCTAGAATTGTCCCTTTTGAAATATTTAAAGTAGGATGGTTGATTAGGTTGCATGTTTTGACATGGGCCTCTATAAACTACATAGTCAAGTTGAACCAGTCCATTCTTAATGCAGTTTTAGCATAAAGTCTGAATTGTCTTCTGTTCTGCCTTAACTTTTTTGCCCAGAGCATCTGAAAGACAGTATAAACAAACTTTTTCCTTCCAGCTTTTAGTTTGGATGCTGAGCAGCCAGATTATGACTTGGATTCAGAAGATGAGGTTTTTGTGACTAAGCTGAAGAAAAAAATTGATATTTCTCCTTTGCAATTTGAAGAAATGATAGATCGACTAGAAAAAGGCAGTGGTCAGCAGGTACAGCATTGTTTCAAATATTTCAAATACCATAAGTAATAAATGTACAAAAGTGACATATTTGGGTTTTACCTTTAGCCTGTCAGCCTGCAGGAGGCCAAGCTACTCTTGAAGGAAGATGATGAACTGATCAGAGAAGTATATGAATACTGGATTAAAAAGAGGAAAAACTGTCGAGGTCCCTCTCTTATCCCAGCAGTGAAACAGGAGAAGCGTGATGGTTCCAGCACAAATGATCCTTACGTTGCATTTAGAAGGCGGACAGAAAAGATGCAAACTCGAAAAGTAAGTGTGTATATCGTATTTAAAACCTCTGTTACATGTCGGTTACTTAGAACTTACTGCTGTAAAAGACATGAGGGTTTTGGAAAGTGTTTGAACCTGAAAGCTGGGGATTTTATTTAGTTTTAATTAAGAGTTTGGTTTATAGATGTGCACCTAGGAAAAGGAAACCTAACACAGTTACACAATGGGAGATGCATCAGTACTACAAGTGAGAAGGATCTTGAAATCATTGTAGATCAGAGGCTGAATATGAGTCAGTAATGTGATGTGGTTACAAAAATGTGCTGCATTATTGAGCAGCATTAATAAAAATACAGCTTCCAAATCCCATGAGGTACTGTCTCCTCTTTGTTTGGCACTATAGTTAGGCCCTGTTTTGAGTACTGCTTTCAGTTCGGGGCACCACAGTTTAAGAAAGATGCAAACAAGCTGGAATAGGTTCAGAGAAGGGCAACATAGATGGTTGGGAACTGGAAACAAAGGTCTGTGAGGAGAAATGGAAAGAACTGGGCATGTTAAGCCTTGAGAACCAAAGACTGAGGGAGATATGGTAACACTTTTCAAATATTTGAAAGGCTGACACACAGGGGGAGGCCAGGATCTCAGTTATCCCTGAGAGTAGGACATGAAAATAATGGGCTTAATTTACAGGAAGCCAAGTTCTGTCTGAGCATCAGGAAAAACTTCCTGACTGTTAGAGCAGTATGACAGTGGAACCAATTATCTAGGAAGGTCATGGGCTCTCCCACACAGAAGGCATTTAAGAGGCATTTGAATAGTCATTTTATTGAGACTTGATGTGGTTTAATTTGATGGTCATATAGGGAGTTTGGGAGTGCTGCTTGATCTAGAGCTGTCCCTGGAATCCTAGGTGATGGCTGTGGTGAGGAGCACTTTCCTTCAGCTTCAGCTGATTTATCAACTGCACCCCTATGTGGATGAGCAGTGCCTGCCAATGGTGACCCATGCACTGGTAACTTCACAGTTGGACTACTGTAAAATGTTCTATGTGGGGCTGCCCTTGAAGTTGGTCTGGATACTTCAGTTGGTTCAGAATAGAGCTGCCAGGTTGGTAACAGGGATTGGCAGGTATGAACATATAATGCCGGTCCTTTATCACCTACACTGGCTACCAGTTGAAGTCCAGGCCCAGTTTAAGGTTCTGGTGATGACCTATAAAGCCCTTAGGACCTGGTTATCTGAAGGAGCCTCTCCTTCCATATGTTCCTGCCTGCCCCTTAAGATCTGAGACAGAGGTCTTTCTCTGGGAGCCCTCCTTGAAGGAGATTAAGAGGGTGATTACCTGGAGAAAGGCCTTCTCTGTGGTTGTGCCCCAATTGTGAATACAGTCCCCAGAGAGGTTTCCCTGGCACTGGCACTTTATTTTTTTCGGCACCAGGCTAATACCTTTTTATTTTCCCAATATTTTAAGGTTTCACTGTTATTTTAATATGGGTTTTATTGTTGACTGGTTAAGAATTTGATTTGGATGCTGTGTTTTATTTTATTTTTGTCTTACTGACCTGAGACTACAGTAAGGGATGTTCTAGAAAAGTTTTAGATAAATAAATATTCCAACTCTACCATTCTGTAGTTCTGTGTTTGGCTTGTATGATTTATGTTTTTATTCATTTTGCAGAATCGTAAGAATGATGAAGCTTCTTATGAAAAGATGCTTAAACTGCGCCGGGATTTAAGTCGTGCTGTAACGATTCTGGAGATGATAAAGAGAAGGGAAAAAAGCAAGAGGGAATTATTGCACTTAACACTGGAAATTATGGAAAAGAGGTAAAAATTACTTGTACTTAGAGGATTTTATTTTTAAAAAAAAATATGATTAATGTTGCCATTACATACAAAGAGTACTGATAGTATTCTATATATATATGCACCAATATATAGATTGTTACTTTTACTTTTAACTAAAATAGAGCAGCCTATTTCTATATCATAGCTTCCAGATTAATCAAAATGGAAAGTCACTTCAAACACGGACTTTAGATATTCCATTTTAAGTAATTAACAGTGCAATCCTTTGGCCATTAGACTTTTATCTGGATTGCCATAGGAGAATTCAGAGTCCCACCTTCAGCCATAGCAACTCACGCCAACGTCAGACCTGGAACTCTGAACTTGGAGCACCCTGACTCTTACCTTGCAGCTATGTTGGCTGTACCTCACAAGACTCAACCTAGAGCTGGTGTTTTGAACTGAATCATGTAGCCTTGCAGAAATGCTGAGGTCTTGCAACCTGAAGCAGGATTTCCTTTGAAGTGGCTTTCCTCTGAACTTTATGCTGGAGTGTCCTAAAGTTTCATATGTGATTCAGTGCTTTTGGAGGACCACAAAAAGTCAAAGCAGCCTGTCTGTCACTTTGCTTTTGCTTCTTCATACTTAGAAGACACCAAGGAAGGAATGGGGCATGAAGAGGAATTAAGTGGCTGATAGGTCTTAATTCTAATCACTGGTGTCCCATTAACCAGGCATTCTCTAATAACTGCGCTTATGTGGGGATTTGAGCATTATAAAATCCTTTGCTCGAGGTTATTCATTTCAAAAGAGTAACTCCTTTACTATTTGTCTCAGCTACAACATGCTGAAGAGCTTGTGAGTTCAATTGTTTGTGACTGTACTTCTGTACTTACTCTTCCTGATTCCTTATCACTCCACAGTTTCACCTGATTCTCTTTATTCTAACTTCCCAGCCACTTTTCTCTGTCTTGTCCCATTCTGCCTGTCCTTCCTGATCTTCTTGAAATTAAACTTCTTGGCATTTGTCTCTTTTAGAATTAGTTTAAGTTGTGTTAGTTCCATAGATTTTGTTTTGAAGCACATTCTGTTTTCAGTTTGATGATACCTTGCATAAAGCCCCGTACTTTTCTTGCTTTGGCAGGTTCTTTACCAAAAGGCAGTTCTATGTATATACTTTTTTCATAGCAGTTATCCACCAAACAAAAAATTGAGGGTGGGGGATGAGGATTTTGTTTTTTTTCCTCTCCCAGAATGAACAACCTTTAGGTCTCCCATTGTCTTCCATGGGAAATATTATATGGCTCTTACGTTACTTTTTACAGAATTTGATTAAATAATTGTAGATACTTCTGAAGGATGATGCCCGACAAATTTCATAGAAAGATATACAGGGACCTTGGTGTTAGGCTCCCTTGTTATCCTTTTCAAAAAGTAGGTACCTATAACTTTTGCAGGATTTTTTAAAAACTGAATGAGATGACATTTGCCAGAACAGTTGCCCCTACTGTGGGAATAAAGGATGAGAATTTTAAGCATGTAAGTGTAAGAATTTTGTGCAAGATGAGCATTTACTATTCTGAACTTCATTTTGAGCTTGGACTTGAGCCACTTGGAATCCCAACTGAAATTTGGGGAATGTGCATCCTTAATTCCCATCATAAATACCGCATTTTTCTGGAAGCATACATGTTGTATTCGGAAGACCAGTTTTACCTTGGTCTTACAACCTCTTAAGGGTTGTAGAAGTTAGAGCGTGGGGTGGGGAAAAAAAGCAAGATTTAACCCTGAGTGAGTATGTTAGGAGTTATAGAACTTTTCTAAACTTTCATAGGGTGGCATTTATTAAGACTTGTGTAAGTACTGAATGAGACTGTGCCTTAAAAAAGTGTTTTCCTACTCATTGCCAGTCTGTTGGGTTTCAGATGTTTATGTGTTTGGGAGAACAAAACGATCAGGGAAATGTTCAGGAAGGAAGATGGTTATAAGAGGCACAGAGTGCTGTGGTGGTGGGAGGCAGAGGGTAGACAAGTCTGGTACCTATGCAATGTTTTTATTTCCCACTCAACGTTCCAGCCTCAATGTCTCTTGTAATTTAGCTGTGATCCATTGAGCCAAAAGGCTGTTGGTAAATGGACTATGGAAAGGTGATAACTGTGACCTACATAAGTGGATGTGCTTGGGAGGGGGGAGTTTTCAGTCTTCTCAGATGTGTCCACTAACATCAAGTTCTTGAAGTGTGTAAGGTCAGAGTGGTCCTTGTCTATAAGCATTCCCTATCCAAAAGTCAGCCACCGTTCTTTCTTGATTTGATTTCTATCCTGCCTTTTTCTTAAAAGAACTCAGAACAGCTTTCCGTATTTCTCCTCCTCATCTTTTCAATCTTATCCTCACAATGATAATCCTGTGAGGTAGGTTGGACTGAGAGTATGTGTCTGGCCCAAAATCATCCATGGTTCCAGTTGGTTCCATGGCTGTGCTTGGATTAGACTCAGATTGTCTGAGTCCCAGACCCAAAACCAAAGTGTTAACCACTATCCTACTCCTGAATATCTGTATCTCATGTTGGTGACTCAAGACAGAATAAGGATTCTTTTGGTGTACTGTCTACCCTGTTGTTTAATATTCTCCAGAATGAGGGAGGTTGCAGTGGAGACTTTCAAGGCTTGTGGATTTCAGCACTCACACTAAGGCCATGCTGTCTGGGTTGGCTTAGATTTCAAGGTCACTATGAGAGCCATGGGCCTGGACCAGGCTAGTGTCCTTTGAATGGTTTAGTCTCATCAGGCCCACCCAGTGTGGTCAATGATGTTCGGAGTTGGTTCAAAACATCTTGAGAACACCAGGTTCAGGAATGATAAAGCCTAATGCACATAGCAGGGCATACATAGGACTTGGTCTTCTGTACTGTTTTAGGGGATAATACATTGTGGATGGGAGAGTTAGAAATCGCTCTGTAACAATCACTTTCTGCTCAAATTAATTTATTGGGTATTCTTAGCCCTTACTGGATAGTGGACCAGTTTTAATGGTTTTCCTTCAGAAGCCAGTGGATCTGTATGGTTTCCTGAGGGCTCCTGGGGAGTGTTCTGCCCAAGCTCTATTGTCTGGAAAGGGATGAAACCACTGTGAAACTTAAGCTCTGGCAGTGATGGTAACCAAGAAATCTTCTCTTATAATTATGTTTGTTCAAAGTCAACCAGTGGAGCTTTTTCTAGTAGTGAAAAGCATGCTCTCTTGTAGGGTCAAGGGATCTAATGAAATCCTTGGATACTTGGTGTAATGAATTTGTATTACACTTTGCAGACATAATCACTTAAATCTGTTCTCATGCAAATACCTTTTCCTTGATGGTCAAAAGATATTTGGAACCAGTGTTTAGTCTTGTCATGTTCTTTTGGATAGGTTTCAACTTCTGTAGCCTGACCCAAGTACATTGCTTAGTTGTATTACATGCTTTTCAGCTCCATGGCCTTCCTAACATTTGTTTGGAGTGAGCAAGTATCTATACCACCCTTGAGTAAAATACTGTAAAATTGTGTGGTTTCTCAACTCAGTTACTGATTGCTTCTATCCATTCCAATTTAGCTGCCAGCTTGATTTTGACACAGTAATAACTTTGGTCGCCTGGGTGGATGACTTACACTGGGAGAAGTGCAGGAGAAGTGCATTCTTGTTATTTACCTCTCTGTGGGCTTAACTACATTGACTGTGATATTAATCTGGGATGCCTAGCTGAGATAAGCCCCTGAAGTATGTTGTTATCTGGCTTCAGTTCTTTCTAGAAAGACATACCCAGATGGTAGTGCAGGGAAACTCCTCGGCTACCCTATCCCCATTGACCTCCAGGGTGCCTAAAGATTCTGTCTTGTCTCCCATTCTTTTTAATGGTTTTGCAATGCAGTAAAGAGATATTGTCCAGAGGTTTGGCTTACACTTATTAATGCACACAACTCTACCTTCATTTCCTATCATGAGTAGCAGTGCCATTACATTGCATTTAAAACCTAGCTTTTTTCCTTTTACAGGGAACCCAAGGCAGTTTGTATTTTCCTCCTATACTGGCATTTTATTTTCACAACAGGTTAGACTGAGACCGAGTCACTGGCTTAAAGTTACCTAATGAGCTTTATGGCTGAGTGGGACTGGAACATGGACCTTCCAGGTCCCCAGTCCAACGCTCTAACCACCACACCAGCATTCTTACAGTTCCAGAAATGCTATGAAAACTCTCTGGAGGCAGTTTTGGAACAGATGAAGGCAAACAAACTAAGCTTTAATTCTGAGGAAGTACTTGTATCCAGCTTGATCTGGATACAAATGTGGGACACATGTAGGTTGGGGTTGTATTACTGAAGAGCCAAGTGTTCAGCTTGGGGGATCTCCTGGATTTGGAGCTATTAATGGAAACACAGATGGTATGTGTTGCCAGGGGTTCTTTTTATTGGCTTTGGTTCATCCTTTGTATCTCTGGAGAATGCAGACCTTGCTCAGTCATCCATTTATTAAACTAATATAACATGTTCTATGCAGGGCTGCTTTTAAACATGGTTTGGAGGTTTTGGCTGGTGCAGAATGCAGCTGCTTGGGCGGGGTTTGCAAGGGTCAGAATATATAACATTGATTCTGTAGCAGCTGCAGTGGTTGCCCATGCATTTCAGGTCCAATATAAAGTGCTGGTGATTACCTTTAAAGCCCTAACTGGTTTGGGATCAGGGTATATGAACCTGTTCTACAATTGACCATAGAGGACCTGTTCATGGCCTGCAGGAGCCATTAAATTAGTAAGTGGAAGAAATGGGGTGTTTTCTGTGGTGCTAAGGACAAGAAATAGCGTTCTTAGTTTCTTTCTTTTTTCTTTTTTTTTTGCGTTTTTATTGCTGAGTTTTAAACTTCAAAAGACAGTATAAAGTATTGTAAATAAATCATTCCATCAGTTTTAACTGAGTAGAATACTTGATAGGTTTTTTTCCTTGTATCTGGTCAGCATTATGAGATTAATTCATAACATGGTTTTATGACAATAAGTATGTGCTTTTTGACTTAACATTGCTCACATACAGCCATAATGAAATGTGTACAGGGGTGTATGAAAAAGTTGTCCTTCACATGTGTTCTAATTGATATCATTGGCTTGAATGGTATCATTTGATACCAGCTGTATAACTAGGGGCAAAAAAAAAGCTGTGAGCTGTTCAGAGTTTGGCTGTTTGATACCATTCATTTAAAAGGTGCTAATGAATGTTAAAATCCAATATTGCTGTTGTTATAACTGCCAATAATGATTAAAAGCTCCCACTTATGAACAACTGCCCTAACTTGGAAGCCATTTACCACAGTCTTGTCTTCAGAACTAGTTTGGTTTCATAGTGTTCTGCATTGTTCTATAGGGATATTTCTGTTTGAAAAAAATAGTAATATAATAAGTTTGCATTCACTGTATAATAAACATTGCACAAGTATTAGTCATAAATGTTAAGATTACAAATACTTTGAAATTGTGGCAGCATCAATTTTTTTCTTTAATTTTCAGATATAATTTAGGCGATTATAATGGAGAGATCATGTCTGAGGTAATGGCACAACGGCAGCCCATGAAGCCAACCTATGCTATCCCCATTATTCCTGTTTCTAATAGCACTCAGTTTAAACACCAAGAAAGTATGGAACTGAAGGAATTTAAAGTTAAGAAGGTGACTAAATCTCTTAAAAGATTTGTGTCGTGCTTAATTAAATTGGTTGCTGATTCAGGAAAAATGCCCTTTGGGCATTACATATGCTATTAAATTCCTGTATGTGTGAACCTCTTAGTAATTTTACTTCAAGAAAATTAAAGATAACTGGCCTCTATAGTGGGTATTTGCAATTGCTATCCTCTGTAGTTGGTGATTTGCAGGTCTTTCAATATTGCATCTTAGGAATGCATCAAGACAAAAAAAAAAAAACATGTTAAAGTAGTACTATGGAACTGATGTTGGAAACAGTAATTTTAAAGAAATGAACCATTTATATAATACTACATTTTATTGCCTAATTCCTATTTAACATTGCACATTAAAGATGCCTCCTTCTCTCTCATAAATGTGTGTGCAGTGTCACAGGAGGTAGATTTAAATTAATACTGGATTTGTAAGCAGTTCTTAAAGCATTAGTTTTTGGTGGGTATAAGAGTTCATGTTAGTACTTCTCAGCTGACATTTCAAAATTGGACTATAATTTTATGAATCTAAGCTGAAATTTCTCCCAAATAATTGGAATATTGTACTTTCCATTTGCACTGTGTGTTGTTTCTGTTGAGCAGGTACTTTTGTGGCCTTTTTAGTGGCAAAGTATGTAAAACTATTGACCTATTTTCTCTTAGCAGCAAGAGAAAGCTGATGCTATACGGCCCAAAAGAAAATATGAGAAGAAGCCCAAAGTTGTACCTTCATCGGCTGCTGCTGCTACTCAACAGACAACTCCTGCTGCACTGCCAGTCTTTAATGCTAAAGATATGAATCAATATGACTTTCCCAGCTCTGATGAAGAACCACTTTCCCAAGTAGGACTTCCATATTTTAGTTGGGTTGTGGGAGGAAAAAGATTTGTGTGCTCATTCTTACCTGTACTCTTTTCCTGAATGTTTAAAGGTCTTGTCTGGTTCTTCTGAAGCTGAGGAAGAAAATGATCCTGATGGTCCATTTGCCTTCCGTAGGAAAGCAGGCTGTCAGTATTATGCTGTAAGTCTTGATATTCTATAAAATTTTTGAATGTTGATAATAATGTGAGTAGCATTTTTTAAAATTCTTCTCAATTATTTCTTTTCAAGCCTCATTTAGACCAAACTGGTGACTGGCCATGGAGTAGTCCTAAAGGAGGAACATTAGGTGATGAGCGTTATAGATACTGCTTAACAACCCTTACTGTACCACAGAGGTGCGTTGGGTTTTCACGGAGACGGGTTGGACGTGGTGGAAGGTAGGTTTATTTTTCTTAAAATTAACTAGTTAATGTTAATATAAAAGAAACCTTTGAGTATGACCCAATGAAAAATTGAAATGTAAGTTCTTGTAATTTTTAATTTTGCTTAATTTGTTAAATAAGTACAAAACTCTTACTGCCTCCCTTTTTTAGGCTGTGTCTATAACTGGGATAAGATGATTTTCTACCATCTGTCACAGGAACATCCTACAGTGTTGTGCATACACCATTCTCTGTGCATCCTTTCTAGTCTCTATATCTGAAATCCTTTAATTCCATTTCAATGAAGCTCTCAGGGGCTACATTATGGTGGTTAAGTTGCAGGAAAAAGTGGGAGGATTCATAGACATATCTACTCAGAAATAAGCAGTGCTTTCGAATAGTATTTCCAAAATCTCATTCTTGCATTTCTGTTCAGAAGTAAGCATGAGTATCATGTCTATTTTCAGTTAATGTAAAAAGCTTTCACATGACTGCTCAGAAGGAAACACCAGACAGAGTCATTCAGCAGCTTTCTCCTCTGGCTCTACTTCTTCTGTCCTGCAGGAAAAAAAGCATTATCAACTTAAATCAGTTTGCTAATTATGATTTAAGTTAAGATCCCATATGTTGTTGTGCAGCTCAACATTAGTTGCACAGTCCAGATGTTACAGCAGACCATAGTAAGAAAACTCGAAAATAGAGCAGAGAGCCTGAAAGCTTGTAGCATGTGTCCAGTTCAACTGTGACTAGGCGCAAGCTAGGCTAAAAATGCACTATTCAGTTTGTTTGTTTATTTATTTATTTAACGTTTTTATATGCCATCCCATTACTAAAAGTCTCTGGATGGGTTACAAGAGACTGGGAAACTCCCTTTAACAGCAGTAATAAAATTACTTTTCTGAGAGTGTTAAAGAAAGCTAGGGAATCATTGTCAAGAGACAGGGATCGATTCAGCATTGTTCTGTGCTCAGAATGTGCTTGAGATGCCCTGCACAGTTATGTGTATATCTTTTGCACCCAGTTGTTGAATTTCTAGTAAAAATGTATGTAGATATGATAAGGGTGAAGTCTGCCTCCTTCTGCTATAAAGAATGGCCTGCTTGAAATTCTTATTTTGCAAAGGGTGATATTTCATCATTGTTGGTGCCAGTAACAGGAAGCCTGGTTTTGTTAGCAGTGAATATATTTTAGTGCTGTCTAATTCAATAGGCTGTATGAAAGTTTATGTTGGGCCACTTTGATAATAACTCAGGACTAAGGTTGTATCTAAAATAGCAGGCTGCAGTACAATATTGATTCAAACATGTACTATGAATTCTTGTTTCAGATAACATGATCAAACTAACATGAAGTCTTTGCAGCTGCAAAATTACTGCGTGCAACTTGGTTGCAAAAAGTTCTGAGCAAAGAATCTGCTACATATCATGGCACCCCACTTCCTAATTATGATGTTTCTAAAAGAACTGAGAGCACCTGATGTTCCTAAGGAACATTTAGAAGCATTTGAGCAGAGTATTTTCTAGTATTTTCTCTGCTCGTATGGCCTTATTAATCAGATCCATTTATTAGTGATTACCAATCTAGACTTCTGTTTCTTTCTTGCCCTCACCTCACCCAGTCCTGTGGTGCTTTCAGAAGAAGTGGACAGTCAGCTTCTCTTTCCCTGCTGTTATTCCCTGTTACTTTTTTTGTGAGCTCTTTGACTCATACATATGGGTTATGCATCTCTGTAGTGTTCGTTTGAAACATTCTAGTCCCAAGCAGAATTTTAGGTGGGAGGTCCTACCTGCAACTCATTTACTTTTTGTCTGCTGCAGCAACTGGCATTGTTTGGAATGTTCTCCGTATAGCATAGTCTTGTTTTTTTTTTTTCTCCTCTCAGGAATACATGGCCCATAAGACCTTTTCAAATAGTGTATCTGCTGTTCAGGAACATACCTTCCATTGAAAGCTATTCTTTCAGTCCCTTGTTTTTGGGAGAAGTGTATAGAGTGCACTGCTGCACCTACTACCAGGTGTCCACTAAGCAGGATGGCTTGTCTCCTCATTGTAATGTGGGAGCAATCTGGATATGGCTGCTCTAACCCAATAGGTTTGCCCTGCCCCATCCACTGTCTCCCCCAAATTGCCACTAATCCTCTCTCTCTCGCTCAGCACAGCTTCCCCATTGATGGAGTAAACTGCAGAATAATCATCCTCAATATCAGCTCCGGCATCCACTTGGATTTGAGCCAACAATCAGTCATGACAGTTTGGCCAAATCCAAAGATTTCAGTACTTGCTGCCAAGACCAAGATGGTCAAAACAACTAAAGTGACCCCCTCCCCCCCCAAAAAGCCCTACTAATTCTCAAGTGCTAGGACCAAAGAATAACAAGAAAACTGCATGTATGATTGAATCCAGTGTTGAACCAATCAGCTTTGGTATTAATGTCTCACAACCACCTTATTGCAAATTCCCAATACCAGTTTTGGAGAATCTGCAACTGTGTGCAGAACATGATTTCTCTTACAATGTCCAGTGTATAGGGTTGATGTCAGAGGCTGAATCCAGGGGACATCCCCTTGGACCTCACCAGCTTAGCCCTTTGGACCAGTCTGCACATCTGACAGTGGAAATACAAATATCTGTCTTCACCCATTTTTCCCTTAGTGCCACACAGACTGGTTTGCCACACTAGTTCTCCATGATGCTAACTTCAAATTACAGTCCATCTTATCCCACCATGCTTCCTCCAGTTTGTCTTTGACAATAGATTCTTTACTTTCAGGGTCCTCCCATATGGTCTAGTCACACATCAAAAGTCTTCACAAAATGCATGGTAGAATTAATAGCACACCAATAACCATAGGAGAGAGTTAGCTTTCCATATGTAGATGATTGTCTCCCCATCACTTCCTTTGTCGTGAGCTTAGCCCTATTAAGTCAATGAAGAGACGTTCTATCTATCTCTTCTTAACTGTAGCCATTTACATGGACACTATTAGACTCTACCTAATCCTGTGCATACTCATTGATCAACAGAGTGGCTACAGTGAAATACTTGATACATAATGTAAAAACCCATCTTTGGTTGTAGGTGATCATTATCACCAACACCACATTAGTCTTGTGGCTGTAACCTTCCTGGCCTGCTTCCACATGATGCCACTGTAGTCTTGATTCCTTCAGAGCTATAATCCAAAGGAGGACTTCCTGGTCCCTCTTTTGAGCTGCCTTCAACAGATCCAATATTCCTTAGACTAGTGAACAATCCCAGCAGAGAGGGGAGAGTTTTTGATGAGCAGAGAGGCTGAAAACTGTCACCATGGTCACATCTCTTTCCAGTTGAAGGCTCACTGTGGCTTTCTCAAACTACATAACCAAGAATCCTTTCAAGAACAGACTTATGTGTATCAGCTTAGTTAAAGTGCTAGTGCTTTTGAAGGTCATTCAAGCATTTGTATTAACCATTGCAGCATGCTTGGTCTAGACTGCCACCGAAAGATCCATGTTGATTTTTATCTTTGTATGCTAAGGAGAAGAGGTTTCCAACCTTTCTTCCACCAGTGGACAGAGTCCTATGACCTTTTTTTGAGTGCTTGAGTTCCTTTATTTCAAAATTAAGGCTTTCAGCTAATAATGTTCAATCATTCTTCTACTTGTAACTCATATTTTCTTGTGGTCATCTTTGAACTTGCACAACCCAGTCTCCCTGCTGTGATGCTTTGCTATTAATTTATTCTTTCACTTACTCTGGCATGTACAGAACAGAGCAGCAGGTGGGAGCCTGCATGCACAGTATGCATAGAGAAGGTGGGATGGGTCTTCTGCCTAAAACCCTGCTCAGCTTTAGGATGTTCTGAGTTACTGTTCTGCATTGGTGCATAACATGAATGCATGAGTTCAAACATGACCAGTCAGAACTGCAGTTACTGGTAAGCAACTTGTCCCTCCCAGTCCTAGTTTGAATAATTGAATTGCAATTTGTCTCAAACCAGTGACAGGAAAGTAAGAAAGTTCCACCTCTTAGAAGAAAGGGGGCATGTGAGCCTGGGGATCATCAAAGTTCTTTAAAAAACAACAACAGTATTTTCTTGTGATCATTTGGGGGAATCCTCACTCACAATTCTTTGGCTTTTCTAGCATTTTGATGACTAGTTCTGTAATAATTTCTTTTACATCTTCATATGTTACTGTGGGAAATTTAACAAAAAGATGAACCTCAAAGGAAGGCTTTATTATAACTGAGAACAGAATGTAGATTTATATATGTTATATTGCCATGATTGTGCTTGTCTGCTAACATCAAAGTTATAATGCTGACTTGCTCTCTTAGGTGTGACTCTTAAAGAGTACTGTTTGCTCCATGTATGTCAGCGTACAGAAGTTTTTGTGTCAGAATTCTTAATCTGTTAATGCTATTTCTTCCTAGCATAGCTATTACATAATTTTTGCCTGCAGTGGGGATAGAAACGTTACATTGGCTTGTACACTACAAAATGTCCGTCTTTGCATTTTTAGGGTGCTACTGGATCGAGCGTATTCAGAGAACAACAGTGCATTTTGCCAGCTGGATTCAGAAATGCTTTCCTCACAACTGCACTCTTCAATCAATCAATTTGCCAATACCTCAGAAACAAATACCTCGGACAGATCTTGCTCTAAAGACCTCAATCAGATATTAGTCAATATCAAATCATGTAGATGGCGGCATTTTAGGCCTCGGACACCAACTCTACATGACAGTGACAATGATGAACTTTCCTATAGGAAATTACACAGAAGTGTAAATCGAACAGGCACAGCACAACCTGGGACCCAGACATGCAGTACCTCTATACAAAGTAAAAGTAGCAGTGGTTCAGCACATTTTGGTATGTTGATTTTGACAATCTTGATTCTAAACAATTTTGGCAACAGTAATTCAGCTTTAACATTTACTCCATGTCTTTTACTCATCTGTTGATATTTTATGTTGCATGCGTAAATGTCATGCCAGAATCTAAACTTTAATATAGTGGGTTGGATCCATGAAATAGTCTAATTCACATCCTTGAGATAAAAATTATGAAAATCAGATTTCAGTAGGTCTACTGTAAATGTGGCAAAATCTGAATCTAACATCATGTCTTCAGAAATACCTTTTAAGCACCATAGTTTTATACATCGCCCTTCTTAGATGCAAAATTTTAATGACTGTTTGCTATCTTACATTTATTGAATTAGACAAATGTAATTTTTTTCAGGCATGAATCTCAAAGGGTGCAAAATACAGAAGTTAAAAATAAAGTCATAATTAAAATATGTTAAATGAGGACAGATTAAAACCTACTAACCATCAGCATTGTATATAAAACATGTATCTGCACAATGTCCTACCTACATACAGTCTTTAACTCCTGCTTAAAAGGACCAAGCACTCAGATGTTTTGTACTGCAGGAAGTTGATTCTAAAATTTAGAATATAGGCAGTCCCCAAGTAATAAACAACCCATATGTACGAACAAAGTGCCATAAAGTCTATTAATTTATTTTAAAAATTACTCCAGAAAATCATCATCAACAGAAAGAGAAAAAGTAAAAGGGGAGAGGAGGAGGCCTCAGAAGCATGCCTTCTTGCCCTGCCCATCCAGAGAGGGAAATCTCTCCAGCATTTCCTTGCTGCAAAGAGGAGGCCTCTGTGAATTTGGGGAGGAGGCTAGAGATAGTAACTGTTTTTCCACTTTCACAAGGATCCTGCACCCCTAACCCCTGCAAGTGTGGAGCAATCCAACATTCAGCTTAAGGACACATTTCTGTTTTCTCAGAAACACAACTTGTTCATAACCCAGGGACTGTCTGGGGGGGGGGGGGGAGGTCGCATGGCAGTTTTCCCACAAGCCTCAGTCATACAGCCAGGATCAAAGACTTGCTGGTTGGTTAAATGGGTAACCTGCAAACATAACTCAAGACAGTGAAATGGTATGGTATGGTTTACTTACTAAAGCTATTAAGAGACTCTGAAAAGCCAGCAACACTCTTTTCAGTTGAATAACAATGCGTATCTGGCTTTCTGTTTTCAATTTCTGCCATTGCAATTAACTTTGCTATTAACCAAGTGTTACCAGCAATTTTCTGAAAATGCTTAATTGAATTATGATACAAATCCATGGTATTTATTATAACCATTATTGACGACCTCTCTAGTCAAGTCAGCATATAGATCATCAGAGGTTTTTTAAGGCTTTTGTTAATAATAAACATGCATATATGTGACATTAATATACACACGCGCGCACACAATGATAGTGATAGTGTGGCCATTAGTTGCATTGCATCAGCACAGGTCTGGTGAGTTGTAGCCCTTACGTCTTGCATCCTGAAGCTGTAAATCCAGCCCTGTATCTCAGCCAAGCAGTAACATCACAGTTTAGCAGGTGTTTTTTTTTTTTTTTTTTTTTTTGCTGAGTTGCATGTCATCATGCAGCCCTACACTGCAAAAAAACTGCATTTTCTGCAGTGTCCATGGACTGGTTCATTTGAGTGACTGCCTGAGTAACAGTTAGTGTTCTGTAGTGTATATGTTATACCTAGAATAAATACCATGCACCATAGCATTCTTTTACTCCTTTAAGGTCTTCCAACAAGTAAGCATGGCCAATTATGTTGATGTTTACATTTGTAAAATAATACATATTATGCTAAAAGTACATTTTCATTTTCCATTGTAGAAATAAACCATATATTTGTATAGTTGCTCATAACCAATAAAGTGGGATGGCTAGAAGAATACAGAGCACACATGAATAAATGTTTAGGCTGAAATCCTACATAGACTTGCTAAAGAATAAATCCCATTGGACATACTACAACTTATACATACACATTCATGGGAATTGCATGTTCCTGTCATGCTTTTGTCTATAAGTTTGCTCTAAGATTAACTGTGAAAATTTAAAGATGGTAAGATCAGAAATTGTGCAAAATCAGTCAAAAATCAAGGCCATCTAGTCTTCCTCTAGAGGTTATTTTTTGAGGCAACCAGGTAGCCTGGACATAATTAAGTATTCCACTGAGTTGCTTGTCCATATGTTTTCTTTCCCATGAACCATGAATAAAATTTATTAAAGTACAAAAACAGCATATCAGAATTTTTTGCCAATTTTTCTCCCAAATGTAGGTATTGCAAGGTAGAAAGACAGTAGAACATTTATACAAAAAGGAAGAAAATGAAAAGTTTTATTTTTAGAGCTCCATTTACTCTGGGATGCAGCTTCTTTAGCAAGCCTATTCTTGGGTGGAATTTTCCTACTTATAATGTAGTTGTCCTTTGATTGATGCAGCATGTGAGAATACAACAATTTAAAGGAAGAAGAATTTTCATTTTGGAAAATGAGAATGTTTTTATTAGCTATAGGGATTTGCATTGAGTGCTAGATTCTTTTTTTTTTTTTTACGCTAGATCAAGAATAACTTAATATCTTAAACTTGATAACATTATTACAGTGTGGATTTTTTTACTGTTTATTTTCAAGGACATGTAGTGCTAGACATTAAACTCTTACATCAATACCTCCCTTGAACTAGATAGTGTTATTTGGGAGCTTGATAGTAATCCAATTTTTAAAGTTCTGTATTGATGTTTTGAAGAGTTGACAATGTCATCTATTATGTATTTATTTAACACATGCCATACCTCTATCTATCTGCCTCTCTCCTCAATCTAATTTGACTGCCCTGGCTTTATATAATTACTGTATGAGATACTTTTACTTCATGAAAAAGCAAATTTGATAGTACCCTGCAGATTGTGGAGAATGAATGAGCTGAAGGTGTCTGTTCTGCATGTGGTCAACAAACAAGGAAGCTACTTTATATACACATGGATCTTGACTGTCTTTAAAAAAAAAGAGAGAGAGCAGGTCTTATATTGTAAACATAGGTTTGTTGGGAAAGAGGGGAAGTGGAAAGGCTGATGTTCACAAGACCATGCTGAGTAAATAGTATTCTTTGGTTTGGGCCATAATACAGTACTTTTGAGATCTGTTTAAAATTTCACAACTATTGATAAAAGATTTGGAATATAATATTAGTTTGGACAACTGTGCTTTCTCCAAATAGAAAAAGGCTCATTTCCCTGGTGATAATCTAGAGTTTTGTTGAGAACGCATTCATAGTTTTGAAAGGTTCCATTTTTGTAAAATGGTAAATTTGACTTCTTCAAGGGAGAAAAGCTAGTATGTTTGCCACTTCAGAATAGAAGTAGAAAAATCTCTAATCTGGGTTGGCTGTTCATGCACTTGTGATTTACTTTGTGTACAATGGCTGTTCTTCTTCGTGATCTCTGTGCAATCACACACACAAGGGCTTTGCTGTGGAGTGAAAGGCCTCGATTGGAGAAAACTTCCAAAACTCAGTGTCATGGAGTGGGCCTGGCCCTGTCTAGAAACCTGAAGGACATACCTGATGTCTTCAGTGTTTTTTATTCCACCTGTTACCAGTTCACATGTGCTAATAAGTGGCTTTTCAAAGGGAATTTTGGAAGATCTGTACTTTCATTTTACCCAAAATCAAGCTTGCCTAGGGCTTAGAGAAATAGCAGGCATTATTAACCTCACTGTATATTTTCTGAGTCTCAAGATATTGTAAACTTATCCTAGACTACTTTATGTTTTGTGTTGAAGATTAATTTTATAGATTACCATTTTGCACACTTTACACAGACTGTTTAGGGCCTTGAAGATGAATGTGTGCATATAGGGCGACCTGTTCTTGCATATAATTTCTTTGTAGAGTCAATTCAGAAATTTCTTTATTCAATATACACAAACATTGGCTTGAAAGAAAAATGGTGAAATGGTGAAAAGGAGAAATTTATGAGTGGCTGATAACACTTATCAGGACATCAAATCTAACAATTGTCAACTAATGTTGTGGTTTATATGTACTTAGCATATTAACTGGCATACTGCTAGTACCATTGCTTATTAAACATATGTACCGCCTAAATTGACCAGCCTGTGTAGAGTTTTTCTTCCTTGTACTGTTTGAGCAAAAAGTTGGAAAGACATGGGAAAACAGTAAATATTACATGAAATAGTCCTTCTCACTGACACATCAAGTATGAAACTGAGGCATGTGGCTTAATGATTAAAGTATTCCACAGGGATCCTGGGTTCTAGCCCCCTAGTCACTGGTTGACTTTTGGCCAGTCAATGACCATCAGCCTAACCTATCTCACAGGGTCATGGAGAGGATAATATGAAGTGGAGGAAGACTATCTAAGCTGCAGGAGGGATCCTTGAAAAAGGGAAAAGGGCAGGGTATAAATGTAATAATATATAAAATACAGTGCATCCCTGTAGATATTTTTATAATACAGTCTCAAATTACTCAAAGCTTCCTGTAATCATTCCTGAAGCTTTACAGTTGTCCACAGTAATGGGCAATTTTTGTGATTCCCTGCGAAGTACTTACTTGTTGAGTTTATTGCATAAAGAAGAATACCTAACATTTCATAGGTTTAACAGTATGGACTCCAAAATCCATAAAATTGTAATACGTTTATTAGGCCTAGTAAATGATGACCCACATCTTTTTTTCTAGATTCCCAGATTTCTTCTTCAGCTACAATGTTAAAAAGGTGGGGAGGAAAGGGAAAGGTGACTGGATAGTAGAGTCACATTGTCTTCAAATACAGTTTGGATTTTCAGAAATGTGAGTATACCCTCCAGTCACCTTTACACACAAACCTCCCACTACATAATACCTTTTAAACATTGGACCAAACGAAGAGATTTAGGACACCCAAAGGCTTGCATACACCCATGCATGCATGTATGCATACCCCCCCAAAAAGGTAAAGAGAGGGGGTTGATCTTTTGTTGGTCTAATAAAAGTTTCACAGCAAAATTTTCTTAGACTCAAGATAGCTATTTTTTAGTGTTTCAAAAGGTTCCCATTGTTACTGGTATTCCAAGTTTAATATGATTGTTAATATTACATTTATTGTTATTTTGTATTTGATTACTGTTGTGGTTGTTTTTAAAAGTGCACTTTCTAATGACTTCAGAAAGGCAGTATCAAAGCACTTTAAATAAGTTGCCAAGCATGTCTGAATTCATTAGTGGCCAATTAAATAAATTGCAGGATAGAGAATAATATGTGGCACCAAAAATGCCCAAAGTGTCAAAACTTTAACTGTCTCATTACTTGCAACTGAGAAAGAAACCTGAAAGGCAGACTGTACGTAAGCATAGAAATGAGTCTGCCGTACACTCAAAGCATATCAAAACTATATTGCCTGCTATAAAGGCTAACTTTTGGATTTCCTGTCTCGCATTTTGCTATTGCCAGAAATAAGAGAATTTATTAGTAATATCAAGCACAATTCCTGGATGTGATGAAATTGAGTTCTAATACAGGACTGAAAAACCTTCAATTTCTGGAAGTGTATTTTTTCAAAAAAGTTATATGAACAGCAGCAAGCCATTTCAGAAATCTACATTTAAAAATCTGCTTTGTCTGTGGAAAACTATCATCTGCAGTTGGGTTAAATTATGCAGCCTTAAGAAATAATGCATAGTCTACTTTGTATACTTTATATACAAGTACTATTTGTTGTTTTGCTTTTTTGGCAGCATACTTCATTTTTTCAATTCACTAAAGGAAAAATTATGTGGCATTACTTATAGGTAGATATACTGTATTTTTCCAACTATAAGATCCCCCAGATGCCCCCATGTATAGGACACCCTCCACTTTTCCTACCGATTTCCGAGCAAGCTGTTGCTGCGCGCGTGTGCCCGCTGCCTCCCCGCTTCCCCACACACACATGCCAGCCCTCCCTGAGCATGCCCACGCCAGTCTCCCATCGCGCCTGCACTCACCCCCCCCCGATCACGCCCGAGCCAATCTCCCTCCCCTCAGCATGCCTGCGGTTCTCGTCCCTGCTCCCTGTATATAAGATGTCCCTCCATTTTTAGGTAAATATTTTTAAGAAAAAGTATCGTCTTATACATGGAAAAATACGGTAACTGAATTTTTAGTCATAGAGATGGTTTGAAAAACCTCTTGTTTTATATTTGCAGGAACTAACACCTCCATCTCCTAATAGTAGCTAAACAGTATGAAATGATCTGTCGCTACTATTGAGCATGTCCTTTAACTGCATGCAAGAGTTTGGGTAATGGACCTATAAACATTTTTGTTTGTTCAAAAACATCTTCTATCAGAATGACTCCTGATTTAAATAGTTTTAGCTATTAGGCTATATGGAAAGCTGTAGAAAGCAGTCTCCAATTTTGTCATGCAGACTTGTATGTTAGATCCCATAGGAGCTTCATAAGGGCTTAAGACAGGATATCCTACACTTTAAAGCAGTTTCTTCATGATCCTTGCAGATATCTTTAGTCTTTCACCTTTAAAATCTCCATGGAAAGGAGATTCTGCACTTCCTCAGACAGTAATTAATAGAAGAAGCCACATAACCAGGTGCAATTTTTGGTCATGATCACTATGGCATGAAAACATTGAGTGTTAATCCTCAGTTTGCGGAATACGAATATCCAGATTTCTAAACCCCTAATGCCAGTTCAGTACTTCAAAGTCTAGGGAGCTGCTTTTGCATGGCTTATGTGTAACCTTTATGTAGGCCTTAGAACAGAGCCTTTTAGAGATAGTCTTAACACATAATCTTAACACTTACAATTCCTGAATATGTTTTCAAAACTTTTGAAACTGTGGATGGGTGTGTGTTGTCATAAATCCTTATATTTTATTTTTAAAAAATCCAGATAGTTTCTTTCTTTGAGGAAAATATGCTTACATTTTAGAAACTTTATTTTATGTGCAATGTTAAGATACCTTCCCCCCTCCCCCCCGAAAAAAAATCATTTGTCCAGCTTGTTTGTGCAGTGTACATGGAAGAGTGATGAAATTTTTTACTTTTACAGCACATGTGAATGCTTTTATAAGTTTTGCCAGTTCACTGATTTGGGAGCAGTGCATATCTTTTGCACAAAAGGGGCAATATCCAGTGCTGCCACTGTGCCTCCACTGAGAATCCTGCTGCAGCAGGGCCCATCACTGGTGCAGCGAGAAGCTAGTGCATGCCATAATGATTGCAGAAATGAGCGGAAACACTTATGTCCAGAATAGCTCCCTTCAGTGAGCTCCACTGATCTGTTCTATTTCAGAAACTTTTGTTTCACCTTGTTTCCGGTTGCTTTAGGGAGTTCTAACTTATGCCATTGGTTGGTCCTGCTGGTGAATGGGATAGCACTGGATATAGCCCTTGAACTTGAAAAAAAAAGTTCAGAAAAGAATTGTTACAGCTATGAATTGTATTTGTTGGCCAAAAATATGGTGTGTGGATAGCATGTTCTTCTATGCTTTGTAGAGAGTTGAATATAGCTTGGGTGTGGATTGTTGAACTGTGGTTTGTCATGTTGTTTGGAATTGGCTGTGATAACAGCCTGCTGTTTAACCATGAACAACCCATGAAAAGAATCCATAGTTTGTTCTGAGGCTATTTGTAGTTAATAAGGCATGGTTAGTTATTGCACCTGAATTCTGGCAACAAAGCCATTGTGGTTCAATGACAACCACGATGTGGGCTGGAATGTTGGGTGAATCCAGTTAGTGGGTGTGAGTGTTCTTTAATTCAGTTTTTCTATGTGTGAAGTAGAATTGAATGAAGTTACAGCTAATTTGTTTCTGGAAATCTGGCACATGTTTGTAGCTTTTGGCAATCTGGGCTTAAAAACTAGACCATGTTGAATGAATCTTAAATTCTTGTCTTTGGAGGTTTTTATTGTTTCTTTCTAAAAAAATTAGTGGTACCTGATGCAGTGATGTCCAAAATATACATGTTTGTATTTTGAACACCCATCAAAATCTGGAATTGAGCATTTTAATTTGGAAAACCTTCTAATATGTGGTCCAGATTATACATTAACTTATTCCTCAGCCTAAACCCACTTTAAGAGTTGACATTGGGGAGTTTTTCATGAAGATGCACTGAAATGAAAACTGCAATGAAACCTCTCTATTTTCTATTTTTAGAACTCTCCATAGACAAATAAGTAGTATAATACAGTCTTTCTTCATTCCTCTGTAAATCAGCATAACCAGCTCCGTTCTTATTGACTGGATTTTCCCCCCCAGGTGGGTTAATTGAGGGAAACTGATTAAAATCTCATCATATATTCTAATTCTAAAAGTATGAAAGCATATTTTAAAATTAAATTTTCCCTTGGGGTTGAAAGTAGGCATGATCAAAAATAGGAACAGGGAACAAATTTCATCTGATGAATTGGTAGTTAATAGTAGACATTCTCTTATTATGGTAATTGTAATGTGGCAACTCACTGTTGTGGGGTAGCAGGCCACATTTTAATCATATATAAAAATACGCAAGCATGCTCTGTATTTACAAGAGCAGCTTGTACTGGCTCCCACTGGAGTTGGAGCACTGACCATATGTACTGTGTTTCAGACCTGTACATGTTGAGTTTCCTTTTTTAGGTTAAGGGATGTGCATATGAGGCTTACATATTTTGATATGGTATTTTCTTATTTTATATTTTGTTCAGCATTTACAGCCGAACAATACCAGCAACATCAGCAGCAACTGGCACTAATGCAGAAACAGCAGCTTGCACAAATTCATCAGCAGCAAGCAAATAGTAATTCTTCTGCGAACGCTTCACAGGTGAGGGAGTTGTCTGTATTATGATTTATCCCTCATTTTTTCCACCAGGGTTCATCTCTAATTGTCAACTGTTGCCATAGCACCTTGCAACTAACCAACAGGAAAGTGGCTTTCGCTCGAATCTCCATCTTAGCCATACTGTAGAGTGTTTAGAAGGGATGCTACAGGTGAGTAAAATAGGCATTGCTTCAGCTCCCTCCTAATAGAAAAGAAGTAACTCAGCAGTTAAAGACGTGGTATGCATATTCTTAGAAAAAAAAACTCCAGATAATATCATTAATTTAGATTGCATGTGTGTGTTTGTGTTTTCCCTCATCAGAAATTCAAAGCATAACATCTGCATAATGCAAGTGACATTCCTTTTAAACACTACAAGGCTGCTACAGATTAATTTATTAACACCGCTAATAAACTTTCCCTGAAACTTGTCTTACTATATTTTTTGAGGAGTTTATAAATGTCTTAAGAACAGGAGTTTCAGAATCTAAAATACTTGCACTTGATATCAAATGGTATTTATTATGCTTTCCCAATTCTAGATACTGTGCTTTTGCTTTTAAGGAACTGGTGAGATTTGAAACAGATTTTTTATGTGGTAGAGGAGTTGCCTCCTTTGTTGGACGTGTTCTCCTACTGACAAAACTGCTCCTGTCAGCAGAACTGGTAGAAACTATTCCCCTTTCCTCTTCCCACTCCCGTCCCCCTGCACCCTTCAAGTTTGTTGTGTAGAGTTGGAGGATCTTCCAGAGCAGTTTTTGGTGTGGCAAGCTACAGTGGGGAGAAGTCCTGTCATGCAAAAATGCAGTGTGCCATGTTGTTGTATTCCTTCCACAATGTTGAGGTGCAGTTGTGGAAAACAAAAGAGTCTGATCTTTTGTTAGAAAAGTTGGTGACTTGCCATTTCTTTGTAGATTTGTAGGAAAGTTCTTGACTTTTGTAAATATGGCTGCTGTTGAGCTATTCTGGTTCTTAGTCTCACTATTTTAGAAGACAATTCTAGGCATATTTAAATAGAAAAAAGGCTTACAACTTCCAGAATTCCCTGCCACTATGGATTGAGCCCTTAATTGTTTTAACATTAATATAGACCAAACAACTTTGAACTGTCATTTGAAAAGAGCTCTAAAATGTTTATGTACTAAGCTACTGCACTATCAAAGTTTGTGACTTCTAAGTTACTTTTCTTTTTCTTTTTTAAAAGGGTTTTATTTCCAAGACTTTGGATTCTGTTAGTGCTCACTTTGCTGCTTCAGCATTGGTTACATCAGAACAGCTCATGGGATTCAAAATGAAGGATGATGTGGTGCTTGGAATTGGGGTGAATGGCATCCTTCAAGCCTCAGGTAACGAACAGCAGTGATTGCTATGTCCTTATTTCCTGTGTGTGTCTTAAATCAGTAAGGGCACAATCCTCGGCATGCTTTGAAAGTAAAAGCATCCTATAACTCCTAGCATTCTGCAGCCAGCGTAACTGATTGGGGGATGTTGGGAGCTGTAGGATATCTTTCTGTCTAAACATTCATAGTTTCATGCCCTTATCCAATTCCGGGATTTTGCTGTTAACACCTAGTGTTTGTGTTTTTTTCTCTTATTCCTTAGGAGTATATAAGGGCTTACACCTCAGTAGTACTACACCTACAGCACTTGTACATACAAGCTCATCATCAACAGCAGGTTCAACCTTGTTACAGCCTTCAAATATTACACAGACTTCAAGTTCCCACAGTGCACTGAGTCACCAAGTAACTTCTGCCAATTCTGCAACAACTCAGGTTCTGTTTGGGAACAATATTAGATTAACTGTACCCTCATCAGTCGCCACTGCAAACTCTATTACTACGCTCAATGTACGACACATACCTAGGACTCTGAGTGCTGATCCATCATCTGCCTTAAAGCTGGCTGCAGCAAACTGTCAGGTGCCCAAGGTGCCAGCTTCATCTTCTGTGGACACCGTACCAAGGTAAGTTTTTACATTACAATGTAGCCTGCTGAAGAGATATTTCCAAACTGTTATCCTGCCAATGAAAATAATTCTCTGGTACGTTTTGAGTCTTTAGAAGAAAAAATCATCCCTGTATAATATTTTAAACCTACCTATAACATCTTTATTGTGACTATTTTAATAATAAAAATGTAAGTTTGAGGTACAAAGTAAACTTTGGACACTGCTTGTCCCAAAAGGGTCACATTCTTTAATATGGAAAAATGTAATTTAGGATTTAAAGGACCATTTTAATCTATTCTGTGTCTGATTGATGCAGTTAGAAATCTTGTTGTGATCTTGTCCTTGAGAGATGTGAACTTCTTGTAAAGGTCTTGAACAATGAATCTGTTTAATTATGCAATATTTTGCAGGAAGCTGCTAGAATTGGAGAATTATATTCTCTGACACTCCAGCTCTAAAAATACTTACATGCAGTAAATATTTGCTTGAATGGGTTTTCTTTCTAATTGAATACCCAGGATTCAGAGTTTGCTTTAAGGTTTGTTACAAAGCTTGTAGATTTTTGGCAGTGTCACAAACTATAGCTGAAATTATGGATTTTGAAAGTAGTTCACCTATAGGGGGAAAAGGATCTGCTAATACTGCTGGTTAGAAAATGGAACATTTCCAGAACCTAGTTGGTTCCCATTTTATTAATCTCCTATTCCCTTTTCTTTTATAAACTTTGAAACCTGCCAGCATTTCATCTTAAGAGATATAAAGACTAAAGATTCTCGTTTTCATGTTTGGTTTTTTTCATTCTCATTGAAACAAAATGAGAGCTTCTTATATTTTCATAATCCTTGAGTCTTTTGAAAGCTTGTTCATACTTCCATCTGCTGCATCAGTGGTACCATATTTGCTACATACACAGTGGCACTCAGATAATCAAGATTGCTATTAGAATAATACAAATGGGGCTGTGAAACAAATTTTGTAAGAGTGCTTCAGTTCAGGATTCCAGTAGCTCCATTCAGTTCTCCCTGCTCTCCTGTTTTCTTTCTTTCCCTCTCCAGCAGTCAGTCAACGTTCTGTTAAAAGTGAGCATATTCAGTTCTCCATGTCTCTATTTGGGTTTGTCTCTTTTTTGGTATTGCACGGAGTGGGTGGACACAGTTGTCCCCATTGCTAGCTGTGCTAAAATCTTACATTTTTCTAGTCATGTGTCTGTGCAAACACTTAAAAATATGATGGGGAAGACCACAGATCTGGCCGGGATAAACTATTTTTAAGCCATTATGTTCCCCATCTAAATTTGTTATCATGTTCCTGCCATCCTAAATATCAGTTAAGCTTCCAGCTGGAAAGATTTGTACCAGTGCAAACCTCAGTTACTATATTGCACATGGATGGTGTTACCTTGGCAACATTTGAGCAAACACAGGAAGACTTGGATCAGAAATGGATGGAATATTATGATTATACTATTTTGAAGAGTTGATGATAGGAAAAAATCAATTTTATAGAAGTTTTGAATGGAACCTTTAGCAGATTAATGTAGTTGATGTGTCCAGTTTGGATATTTATGTGTGCGATGTTTTTCTCTCCTCTTATTTCACAGGGAAAACCATGAAACAGAAAAGCCAGCACTGAACAATATAGCAGACAACACAGTAGCAATGGAGGTGACGTAGTTTCCATAGTAATGGAACTGCAGCCTTTGGGAACTTGTTTAGGTGCTATGCATCAGTAGCAATTTGAATGCAAGGGATGTTGGAATATAGCATATTGCATTTCCATGGCAGCTGTGGGGACTTGACAGCAATGCACATCTCTCATGCTTTGGTTTTTCTTTTCTTACTGTTAATAGGAAAGAATCAACATCTGTAAATTAAGACTACAGCAATTATCTGTACAGTACTGCATATTTGTAATACCCTTGTATATATGTTACTTGAATACAGAACCGTTCATTTGTGATGCTTTGCACTTGGGGCTGGGGGGAGGGAAGGGAAGGGAGAACTGCAACAAAGTAAGAGTGTGAGAAGTGAGATTGTATAGAGATGGAAGTGTCATCACATCATGTGCATGGTGCGGAACCTGCTGTTTTATCTATTTATTGTGCCGTGTTTACAGTTTTTTGTACACTGTACCTTCATTGGTTCCTGTGCTGTAGTAAATGTGTTAGGTAGCTGTGGACTCCTTGGTATTTTGTAAATGGTATTAACATAACTTGGTTCCCCCTCTGGGTCCTTGAGTTTTCTGTGTATCATGTGAAAAATGGTGACATACATACAGAATTTTTTTAAAAAGGCATCAGTTTAAAATGGGGAATGTACTATTCAATGGGATCTTCCTGTTCTAATATCATAAGGCAAGTAACAAGCTAAAAATGAAGTCTCATGGATTCTACCAACTGACTAGCTCACAAACATGTGTGCAGTTTCTGGTACTTAAAGCACTAAAGTTATGTTGCTGCTCTTCATAGAACCCCCTCTGTTGTCCCATTTCCCTACACACCAAAAAGTGGTGTTAAATCAAGTATGCAAATGGAGTCCTTACAACTGGAGTTTTTATGTTGTCTTACCCTTTTGATCACAAATTATATTTTTTTATTGTATAATTGTTAAAGACTTCATTCTTTACTTGTTCTTAAGAAAAAAAAGGCTATAAGGGAGAAGAATGCAGTAATTGCTGTACGTGTATCATCATTCCAGTTTCTGAAAACAGCCAGCTTTTTTTTTCCTTTTTAAGATTCTCCAGAAGGCTGCAAGGCCAGAACCACAACTGTCGGGTGCCTTCCTTTGGAAATATTTGCCCTCTCTTCTGTGAAGAGAATGGTACTTAAGACTCTACTACTAGTGCTTTGTCAGTACCGAAGCCTGAATGCCCACTCCAATGGCGTACATTATCCTTAAGGTTTTTAATCCCACCTGGAAAATTGTGATAGAACTCTCACAAAATAAACCCAGGGCATTACATGTTGACAGAAAATGTGTGGTGTGTTTTATATTTTATTCATTTATTAAATTTCTATCCTGCAGTTGACCTATGACTTTTCAAAGCAGTTCAGATATTACATCTGAATATATAATGAACTTAAGAATGTCTTGGTTCAAACAGCATAAAAGCGAGAGGTTACATTAACTGCTGACATTCTAGTTGTTTGCATCATTTCTTCAAGGTCATCAAATCAATGGCTGAGTGAAAAATCAATTCAGTTCACAGCTTGATAGAAACCCACCTAATTTGTACTCCCAGATCTGCATATAGCTGCACTCCAAAATCCTCATTTTTACCAAATTTTGTGAGCAAGGTCATTGAGTCAAAAATGGTCATCAAAATGTGCACATTAGGAGAAAGTACAGACATCTCTGAATATGCGATGAATGCATTCCATAAAGGAGGCCACAGCCTTGATTTTACAAGAGCTGAGCAGGGTTGTCAAGAACGGGACATTTGGGAGGGAATTCACAAGGTCTATGAGTTGGCAATAAATTGATGGCATGAAACAAAAAACACAAGTTTCCACACTAGGGAGAAATGTACATGGTCCACTGTTTGCTATGTGGCAGTATACATATAATTGAAAAAAGTTACGTATTTAGAAAATAATTTTAATCAAACCTATAAATCACAAGGATGCATGATTACTGGCTTCCATGATCTATAGTGCTGAGAGTTGGTGAAAAAAATCAAAAGGAATTTGGTCTCCAACAGCTTTAGTATCCTGGAGATGGGGTGAATCGGAGGGGGGATGTATGAGATGAAAAGAACTAAACCCAAAACTTCCCCTCACAGTATAGAAGAAAGTTTTAGGAAACCTCTCCACCCTATATTCTCATCATGTATCAATGAAGTTGTCAGCACTGAACTTGAACCCTTCAAGGAAAAGATTGGTAAGGTTGTCCCTGTTCCCTTTGAACATGAAATCTCCCACAAAGGCTCCAAATGGTACTATTCCAGAACTGTGTTCCTGTTCAAGGCTGCAAATTTGCCACAAAATTTTGCTCGAGACCTCCTAGTTCTGCCCTGATATCCTAGCAGTGCAAATAAGTAGATTAGCTTAATACTGGACCTAACACCTAGATGTAATAATATACAGTTACCTTTGGGGCTTCCTTGTGTACATGGATACTGAGGCAAAACTACTGATTTGTGAATCAAAATAAAGCTTGCCTTTTGTGAAATCACAAGTTGACCTTCAGCAAGTCTGCATCCAGGTCTCAGTCCTCCCTCCTGTCCCCCCACCAATCTGCAATTTGGGAATACTTTACTGTCCTTTGCTGGGGTATGTAACGTGGCTGTCTATATGCTAGACTGCAGCATAGCCAATAGAACAGGATGATGGGAGCTGTAGGCCAAGAACACCTGGAAGATCACATGAAACTGTCAAAGCAGTGCTTTATAGTTCATTTGAAGAGACATTCTTCTCCTTTTTTCCCATCCAAAGATGGATGCATTTACACGTGGTTATCTTGTGTAACTAGAATTCCAGTAGAGCAGCTTTGGATACGTGCTTGAAAAGTAACAGTTTGTGGTGACTGACATCATGCTAGATGTGTTCACACACAATGGCAACCGATTGTGGTGACTGACCAAAATAGTTGAAGCTGTAAGGCACACTCAGTCCAACAGGTGATCAGGCATATCATGGTTGTTTCATTTCCTCCCTCCTTGTTCCTTCTGACAGTATCCTAGGGGACACTGTGAGAGCAATGAGTACCCTCTCCCATCTCACTATGGTTGTCTCTTAATTCCCCTCCCCCGTTCATGAAAGTTGATGAAGAGCCAGCTTTGTAAACCTGTTATGGGACAGTTATTCTTTCAATGTGCTCAGCAGCACCTTGGAGGAGCTGACTCTGGTTGCTTATAATAGTAAGTAGTATTTCACATCTAGCGTTTCATAGAATTTATGTTTTCTTTTTTTCCTGATGTGCAAACTGCTCATTCCCTGAACACAATGGGATTACATCCAGCCTCAACCAGGACAATTGCCCACCTGCTTTTAGTGGGTGGCCAGTGGTAGGAATAGATTCCCAACCCCATCCGGGGCAATGTGCAAGGAACACAGAGAAGGCTGGAAGCCATTGCACTTCAGAGACAGAACCTTGTCTGCACAATGAAGACAGAAGAATGTTTTAAATGCACCTGTTTGCAGGCTTTAAAAAGTTGATTAAAATGGTAGGTATGGGCACTCCCTCTAAGATACCACTTTGAAGGGGCAAGTAGTGCTTGTCCCTTAAGGGCATGGCAAAAGCCACAGGAATCCATTATCAGCAAAAAAAAAGTTCAGCCACAGCAAGCTCAAAAAGGCTTGCAAATATGGCAAGGGTAGGGGAGTTACTTCAAGCTGTCCTTTGGGCACCTTGATGGCAGCTGTCAATGGCAGTCACCAACAGCAGCAAGGTATCTTTGCCGCTCTTGCCAAGGGACTTGGCAGCTGCTTTGGCATCGAGGTTCAAACAACATGATTATCCCCTGTGTGAGAAAAAACCCTAGAATAGCCCATGGATTCTTATGATCATGAGTAGTATGAAAAAAAAACCCTGGCTAAACCAGGCTGGATGATAGAATGGAATATAGGATAGGATAGAAGTTGGAGAGGAGTTGGAGTTAGGGGTGTTAGTGGGAATTGGAAGGGGCCTGCTCTGCTTCCACATGTGGTTGGTCACCATGTTGTGCAAGCCCAGTCACTTTGTTCAGGACCATGCCTATACTTGCCTTAGATAGCTGAAGAGCTGGATCTTTCTTACTAAAGGGGCTTCTGTGAAAAATACGCACACAGCTGGGTTCCTGCCACCTATCCCAGGAGATAAACTTAACAATGTCTGCAGTGATTGCCCAAGGGTGGGTTGTCCTTCAAATAAGTCTGAGGACAAATGAAGCACCAATAACATCTGCAAACCTGGAGAGAACATGACCTCTTTCTAGAAACAAGCCCCTGTAAGTAGACAAGAATTTGAGAAAGAATTCCCACAATATTTGCAAGGGTAGTGACTAGGCAAGCTGCCAGTAGGGGAAAATATTTTCTGTCAAAAGATGAAGGAAAAGATGGATTTGGCTCATGTAGGTTCTTGTTCCATCTACCATATCTCAAAATGTTGAGACCCAGAGAATATATGCAATCACCTGCAATCAATTCAAGCGGAAGATCTGTTTAGAACAGCCTTCCCCAACTCTATGCCTTCCAGATACATTAGGACTGCAACACCCAGAATTCCCAGTGAATGGCCCTGCTGGATGGGAATTCTGGGAGTTTTGGTCCAAATGCCTCTGATGGCCACCAGGTCTGGGAAGGCTGGTCTAGAAGAAACTCCTTTGCTCACTTGATTTGACACAGGTAATTCATCTCTTCCTTCTATGTTGTGGGCTCCATGCCTGTGTGGAGTCTGATGTTGGGAAGATTTAACAGTTAAGAGTGTTTTATGGGGGAACCTCACCCCACCAACTCTTATAAAGCCTTCTGCTTATTTGGAGAGGTTCTGGCAGGTGCTGACTGCAGAAAAATCTGAGCATATTTGTAGCATATGGGCATTAGTTACTTGACTCAAATGTTAACCAGTTGGTTCATATTAAGCCATACATAGTGAGGGAAGGCCTACACTTCAACTTAAACTGGTCACAAGACACTTGGAGCTTGTAAAGCAGGTGCTGATAAGCAATTTGGTCAAGACAGGCTTTGTGATCTTTCCCCTTCACAAAATGCTGTAAAAAGCACCATCACTAGAAAATAGAAGGAATAAACAACAAAGCAATATGTTCCTGTGTTTCATTACTATCTGAATCTGAGATACTCCAGCCAACAGAAGGTTGTTTCTATTCTGTAATTCTCGGAATATTAAAATAGTAAACCTCATTAATCAGACAATTATTTTCTCAAATGCCCAATCTCTACATTGCTAAACCACAATAGAATAATTCCATTTATCATGGGCTCTTTGTGTCCTAATATGCCTTTTGCACAATAAATATTCTGTTCACATATGGGAAGTGTTGTTAATGAAGAGATAGCTGCAACAGATGTTAAGCTGTCTTTTATATGGATTGGAAGATTCTGTGAATACGGTCAGCATTTCCTAATTACAGCTATCACACAAACCCTGGGTACTCAGGCACACTAAAATCAAGACAATTTGATGTTGTTTCCCATAAATACCCAGTTTACATTGCATGAAATTATCTCATTTAGCAAAATTCACAATAACCAAGTAGGTGGAAATTACAGCTTTGCTTAGCATATATTAGCAACAATGCAGGTTTCCTATTTTGTTCCAAAGAGAACAGTATTATCAAAATAGCTACTTTGGTATGTATTTACATTTGCTATATATCAGTATACTTAGCAAACTTTATCAGGTTGCACAATTGTTTAAGTTTGTTTTGGCCTCTACCCTCTGGGCTCATTGCTAATTAAGTGTTTACAATGGCTTGCAGCCAGTGCAGATATTAATTGCCAGTAGCATTTGCTTAATATTTTCCAGTATGATCCTTTGGTGCACATAGGATTCTCACAGCTTTCAAGAATTCTACTTAGGACAACCATATCCAAGCCACAGGCAGAGCCATGTAGTTACCAAAAAAGATCCATTGCCCTGGGGGGTGGGGGAAATACACATTTCCTTTAAAGTGTTTGTGTGCATGACTTAAAAGTATGCCTTTTTCCTAAGAACATGTTATTTAAAGGAATGTATAGATAGGAGTGGGGGGGAGGGCGGGGGGACCTTCAGGCAGAAGGATTGAAGCAAAGGTAAAATGCCTCTGGCCAAAGAGCCTGCTAATCGAGGGAGATCAAATGCAAGAGACTGTCAGGGCACAAGTACCTGTATTTCAGCAAGTGCCCATGGATGGAAGAGTGGTGGGGTAGATGGCCTCCCAGAGATTCAGAGCTCCAAATGAGCCATCTCCTAACATCACCTCTAGTGTGGTGCAAGAAAACTCTTAAATGTCCTGTGCGAAATAAAACATGCAAGGCTTCTGACTTGCTACCTCTT